GTACAACATTTGTTTCAAACTGTTTGTACTCTTCTGATCATTCTTATTTCACAACTGTATATTACTAAGTGATGGGTTGCAATATTTCTTACATTGATTATCCCCATTATGTATATCACCTTCATTTAAAATCTGTACAAGCACTAAGACTCCTTGTCAACATGCAATACAGTAATTCAACATCATCTTTGAATGCACAATCTAAACCTAAATAGTTCTTGTTTCCTATAAGTAACTTACACCCTATGATTCATTTTTAAACAAAGAAAAAGATTCCTAACTCTCCTGATCATTTTTTGGGGGGTGGGAGGTTATTCCCAGTTCAAAAGCATTTTCCCAATGAGGTATTGAAGCCATATGACTGGATTTTCTGTACCTCCCCAAAATAAACAAGAAATTATAATTATATTAAAATTAAAGATTTTCAGCACTAATAGCTTTTTACAACAATACAGTCATACTTTCTAGCATCCCTATACAGTATTCTAATCACAAACATCCTAGCATAGAACAATATATTGATCTAATACAGCAAGCCATGTCTAATAGTACAACTGCTAAATTTATACATTTTAACTGAAGATACAATATTATTATTATTATTAGTGTTGTATAAATCAACTTATTACAAACTACTGTAGTGTTTTCAGTACAGTACATCAAGATGACACACACCACCACAAGATATAATACTGATAAATCACTTTGCTATCCTGCATTTTCTTAGTATGGTACCATCTTCCTTTCAAGAGCTATCAGTGGATAGGTAGTGTATACTGTACTGTACTCATCTCATTCTTCTCTCAACCATGGCTTCAGTTAATGATCCAACACACCTACAACTTTATTTGATTTCTCATCTTGCCTTTCTACTAAGATCTTCATCACCTTCTTTAGATCTGAAGTGCTGTACAGTATATATACAGTACAGGTATATAATTTACTGTACTATAAAATTTCAAGGATTCAAATAAAGGTACAGTACTTCTATCTCTTTGGACATGTTAATAGTTTAATTATCATATCTTTTATCTTCTCTACTACCACTTTTATATTCCACTGCTATATCTCCTTTTATTTACAATACAGTACTGGTCCATTCATCAATACTTTGGTGTCCTTTCTTACAACAGCTTACATGAAAAAAAAAAAGATTCTTTAAATGTTAATTCCTTCCTTCTCCATCCAATTACTTCTCTGTTACACCCACAAAAATGACCACACCTTTCTTACAATTCTTTTACTTCTCTGCATCAGACAAAAGTCTCCGTTAATACTTCAAGAAACTGCACCTAATCTTTAACTTTATTTCTCATATTTGACAACACATTTCACATGCCCAACGCTTGCCAACAGTACACGACATAGAACAGACTGACCGGCTAGTAAGCTGAGAAGTGGTGAAGTGAAATTTTTAATGTTGTAGGGGGAAGTATCATATTAGAATAGTACATCTTTTACTCAACAAGGAATGAATGATAACAAATGAAGGGAAATTAATGTACATAGATTTGCTCATTCTTGTCACCCTGCTATAAGTGGACTGGGATAAAACAGTTACAACTTGTACCAGTATATTGTACAGTACTCATATCACGGCAGCAAAGCATAAAAACAACAAATTTACGGATTGCATGTTTTCCCACTTTGTCAATCTCACCTTTGCTTTTGGTTGTTTGCCACATAAACCCAATCTCTCCATCAATTACTGTATAAATGTTTCCTAATATCTTGGACAAAGAAAATGGGGTGATTTTTTCAGAACTGTCTGTCTACTGTAAATACTGTTTATTACAACCATAATACTATTGAAAAAGTGAAGCATTGTAGTCTTCCAGTCTCCATATACAGCATCTATTTTTGTTCTATTTTATACATACAGTACTGTACCGTATTTATAATATAAATAAAATATATGTCAGCATTTCCTTGCAATATTGGTCCACACTGGCGATAAATGTTAGGGGCCTGGCATTTAATGCCATTATGCAAAAGCTAATAACATAGAGAAAGAAGCCTCTTTGTACTGTGCTTATTTCTGTTGAAGTTACCATATTGTATCCAAATTTGCCAATGAAGTCACAGTTTGTTTAAATATATGTATGTTTACACTTTATTCTGGCTTTCAATTGCATGTACAAAAGAGCCATGGCAATCTACCAGTTATTCCAGTTTATTTATCTCAGCCACATTTTGAAGCCCTATTTAACCCCACTACTGTACAGTACTGAATTGCAAAATTGCTGGATAATCATTATGGTGAGCACTGTACAGTATTTACAGTACTGTACACCTTGATAATAATTTATCTACACTTTTACAACACAAATAGCCTTCCTATATTAAGAAGAGGGAGGGTGGGGAATGTAATTATAAAGCAGACCAAACAACCTAGCTGAACACACACAAAACAAAATCAAATAAGATGATACAAAGTTAAAATGGATATGCAATAAACAAGGCAAACAAATACTGTACAGTACACACACAGTAAGCACTTCTTCCTCCAAATTCTAGGTACAATGACAGCAGAGAAAAGCCTTGGTAAATTCAGACACCAACAGTAATTAACAAGCCAAATGAAGTCGTTTCAGTAGGATTGCACACCCAAGATTTATATTTTGTAATTTTCTATGGTAAATAAACAATCACCACCACCAATGTTTTTTACCATTTTCCATGCTTGCACCGGTTAGCCATGATTACCTGATGGCAGCTCTCCATGCTGTCATCTCTTGCAGCCTTTCTCATCAGGTTCATAATGCTCGTCATTTCTTACAACCTCCCCATGTCATTCATGGCCTACCTCATGTACTGCTGCACCTCTTGACCCAGTTGGTCACCTCAATTATCTCTTACAGGCCTCAGGCACACACCCATGTTGATTGTTATGTAATGCCCTTGATCACACCTGCTACTTGCCAAATTCCCATACCAGATTTTCACAGTCTGGTCACGTAGTAAGTCAAGATGAATTTTATTAAAATTTCATTTTGAGAAAAGCATTAATAAAAATAATTATTTACAATTATTTAACAGCGCTTGAAACATTAAAATTTTATTCATATAATAAATTGCTGACGAGTCATATTTCCTCGTGAAGTGAGCATTTGGTTGCAGATATTCCCTTGACCTACTGTGGTCCTCCAAAACACCAATTGAGACCATAAATGCCAGTGGCCACTTTAATTTGTGACCCATATCAGGAGCAAGTGGGAGAAAATTGTGTCAGTGAGCATTTGCAAGAATACCCCTCAAACCCACCAAGGCAGATTGTGATTAAATGCATCCTTGTGACTTTTAATTGTTAACATTACTGAACAGAAGGGAGTAGCCATCTTGCGTATGTAGTGGCGAGGCTCCCCAGCTTCATTGCACTTTACCACAATGAATCTGCCATATAATTTAATACGTCATCTACTTCTGGACAGAAATATAATGCTGATGTTTCTGAGTATGCATGCAATAAGTGCCATAAGATAATATCCACTTCAGAAAAAAAATATATAATCAGAGGACCAAGTTGCCAAGACTGGAGACATTCATCATTCAATATTCATTTATTGCACCTATTGTTTATCTTGGGTTTTACATATAATGAATATACTGTACATGGGCTTACTTATACAGTGGTTCCTCGGTTAACGAACATAATATGTTCCACAGAGTCGTTCGTTAACCGAATCTATTATTTCAATGGGATATTGGGTAATTGGTTCCAACTCCCAGAAAAAGTACATACAAAGTACTGCATACCAGTAATAGAATTAACAAAACATTAAGTATATACTAAATACAGTATACTGTACAATAATAAATAAAAAACAATAGAATACTGCATTTTAACTTACTTTGAGGTGTGTATGTACGTCGTATTCCCGGCAGCTTTGTGTACATATCAAACAGCTGATTGTAGAGGCAGTCGATGATGACATATACCATATTACTTACAGAGTGCATTGGTTCTAATGCCTTCTTCGTGTTTCATAATAATTTCTGCACTGTATATTATCAACATGTTAACTAAATTTCAGAATGACCAATAATTTTAATGTAAAAATGCAAAAATATTCAAGAGACCAACAAAATCGGTGTTCTGTAAACAAAGTTAAACTGAGAAGCGTTGTTGGGTGATTCAATCAGCTGATGGGCGCACAAGAACTGTTCCCTGTATTGTACTGTCTATATTATCAATATGTTAACTAAATTTCAGATTGACCAATAATTGTCATATAAAAAAATGCAGAAATATTCATGACCAACTTTTTTTATATTTACTCCACTGGAAACGAATATAAACATAGAACCAATTACTGTATTGGCGGACTAGCTGATCAGCTGATGCACACAACAAAACGTGTTTGTCGTAAGGATTTCGTTAATTGAAGTTTTGTTCGTTAATCAAACTGAAAATCCTTTTGGGAGCCAATTCGTTAACCGAAATTTCGTTTATCAAACCGTTCATTAACCGAGGGACCACTGTACTGGAAAAATTAATCCTACAAATGATTAAAAAATTATTTTTCGTGGAGTTTGACAAATGCATGAGCTGAATGCCATATTTCCCAAAAGAAGAAGCACTTAGATGAATCATGAATCAAATTAAACTATATTTTATATACTGCACAGCAATCAAAAATTATCTGGGGACCATTGCAGTTATCAACCCAATTATGAAAGTGGATGCATATTTCATGATTTTTTGGAGTGAAAATAGTACATTAATAAAAAGCTTGAGCCCTACAGATGTTGCTTAGAAAAGTGGTATTCCTTTAAATTCCAATGATGAGAATTAATTTTCTGAATAAAGTTACTTAAATTATTTGTAAACAATTAGGAATCCATACTAAATAAATTTTAAACAAAATTATAAAAGGAATATTTGTCTTGATATGGAACTCGCTAATACCATGCACTCATTAGCCATTATTTATAACTGTAATCATTCTCGTATAAAAGAAAGCATAGTAAAAAATGAAGGTAATATTAAATGGGAAATGTCTTTTTCATATGATCAGCAATATCATAGATATCACTCTTTTTATTAAAGAACAGAATATTCATTCTTTTGTTGAGTATACTGAAATGATTTTTGGGAAATAGCTATCTCTGCATTTCTAATTACTGACAAAAATAACCTCACTTTCTAAGGCTACCATATATGTATATATATATTACAAATATTCACAAGGTATACGTACGAAAAACACTTCAAAACACATCAAACACTTATTCTGATATATCACCTCGACTTTAGATATACTCTCCGTGAAGCAGACACATATGGACATATTCACTGAATCGCTATGTACAGCAAGTCTCTCAACAGTCTTAAACAATAACTATTACTCAAACACACCGAAAAAAAAATATACGTATCTAATTTGCAACATGTTAAGTCAATGGCCTCACCGAATTCATCAAACATTTAAAAGCACTTACTAGGACAGAAGCAACTACAGATATATCAAATATCAATAATGATAATGATGTGTACAGTAGTTACATTAATGTACTCCTGTTTCCACTACATACGGCGACCAACCTGAGTGATATAAATTACACCACCATCACCCAGTCTTCCAGGCACACAAAATGAACAATTACATTACACATCAAATACTTTTATCAAGCATGCTCACGCTGAGTGACTACAGGACACATTGCTTTCATGCCAAAGGTCAAAAATATACTGTATACAGTATATATAAAGATGTTCAAGCAAATACTTTTGGGTATTTGTGCTTGATGATGGAGCTACCTATGAGTAGACATGAACATCATAATAACAGTCGTGACATTATCACAGTCAAAAAAATTGTCAAATGGTTTGTTGCAGACTAATCAGCTCAGTTGCAAACAATGTTGTTAGCTGTCTGAATGCTGTACTGTAACAATACTACGGTGTTTTCTATAAAAAATATAGATTCCAGATACAATACAATTATAATGAATTTAAAAATGATTTATAAGAACATCAGGTGTCAAAGATTTCTATAACCCTTGCGAGTTATTTGCAATATACTATACCAATTAATACAGTATGAAGAATTTATATATTAATATCTAGTTATCATGTAGATGTCACAGTAGATGTCATTCTGCTCCCAAGAGCTGGCTGTTTCCATCAATCACTACATAGGCCAGCCTATGCAGCCCACTACAAGTTATGGTGTCATACAGCTATGGTGTGGTCATAAAACTTGATTGTTTCCTCCACAGCTAAATTTTGCCTTCTCACACCTTTTCCATCAACTATGACTTTGTTTCAATTACATTTTCTTTTTTGTAACTTGAACTTGATTAGATAAAAGTAAAAACCTTACAGACACACTTGTAGGTCATGCCATATGATGACATCAGAGTTTTTCAACAGCCACTTGAGGGCAAAAGCTGAATAACATTTTGCCCGAGTTGAACATCTTTATACAGTCTATGTACAGTAGTATGATCTTTGCTTCATATATACCTGTATAAATGAAGTCACATATGTGCATTACATGTGTCCACCAACCTACATAGTAGGGGTGAGATCTTTTCCTTACCAACACCAGTGGGACTGGATAGCTAGTTTTAGTTGTAAAAAGCAAATAAAAACTTCAACTTATTTACATTTTACTTATGGCATAAGATTTATATTTAGAAATGTAAGCAGACTATAAGCCAGCAGCATGAGAATAAGCCAAATTCCACAGTATTTCTTTGGTGTACCAAAAAGCATCTGGAACTACGAACTACTCCAGCTAGTCAGTCTTCATAAATAAAGAAGAATTTTATATCAATGGCTATATTTGTCAATATTACTGTACTTAATAACGTTACATTATGAATTGGCATTTACAATAAAAAAAATGTAAGTATTTTTTCTTTTAACCTCTACTTTTATTTATAGTGAATATCTGTACTGTACTAACAAACTGTATAATTAACAAACTGGAATGAATTTTTTTGACATACTATCATTACCATTCTCTGATACCGCCTTCAACAACTGTGTAACTGAACGTGATACCAGTCCAATATATTCTTGTGTATTGTTGCAACTCAATCACGAGGTTTCATTTTCAAGGAATTATGTAGTTTTTCTTTATTAACATAATTCTTATGCCAGAAGACTGTAAATTCTAAAGATTTGTAAAACCTTTAAAAAAATTAAATAAAAGTAATTTCATGTATTGACAACACCACATCGTAATCCATATTCACCGTAAACACAAATTTAATTAATATTAAATATTTAGACACTATCAATTCCCTCAATATCCATAAAATTTTCTTCCTTCTCTACAATACTCAAAACTCTTGCATCATATTCTTACTTCACATACTGTACCAGAGACAAATGCATGATGAATCAATCTCAATCTCTTCCACAGTGACTGCCACAACAGGTCCACTCCACAGTGTGCTTAGAGCAGCATGTTATCCAAAGGTGCAACAGGAGTTGGTTTTGCGGGCAGTCTTGTAAAAGGTTTTAGATTGCATGCTCAAATTTTCTGATTTGCTGACTAAATCATCCAGTTTTTCTCCTCGTTCTAATACTGCGTTAATGGTCTTGTGCTGTGGGATAAAAAGAAAAAGAAAATTGTGGTGAAACAAATTATTCATTTTATTCTTGAAATCAATAATTTGAAACACCAGATATTGTAGTATAGGTCCCCCAACTTATAAACGTCCGATTTACGCCCGCCCGCCAGTACGAACGGGGTGAAACTTGAAATTTACAGTATTTTATTTACCCGATGACTTATATTTTACTTTCATTTATTGTATATTGTCATTCTATTTCTTCCTTTGTCTTAAATTAAGTGATTTTAGATGTATATAAGGACTTAGGGTATTATATACAGTACAGTAGTGGGATTTTAAACATTGTTTTGTAAGTACGGTATGCCTATAGCATGTGTTCCTACTTACGTACAAATCCGATTTATGAATGTACTACTCAGGAACAGAACCCATTCGCAACCCGGGGACTCCCTGTATATAATAATCTTTGAACATGATAACTTTATTGAATATACATATAGTATTGACGTCAGCTTCAATATTTTCGTTCATTACGAATTTTGGGCATATACGGTATATAAATTCTGTTTCTGTTATGCTGGACAGGTACTTATGTAGAAGGTTGGGGGAAAAAAGGCATATGAACATTTCCTGAAAATTCTGTATGTGACTTACCAGCAGGTATTGAATGGTGTCTTCTTAAAGGTATTAGTAGTACGTCTTATGAGGGTCTCATCAAAGTGTGTACTGTATTATTTCTAGAGTATTCAGCAACAAGAATTAAACGATTATTTTTTTTTTTTAAAGATTGAAAGAGGAAATGTATGAGATCACAGACACACATTAAGTAACATCTGACACTACTGTTCAAATACAACTGGCCTTTCACCCACTGTCAGTTCATTTTGGCCATGTGACCATAAAGTAGTGAAGATCAGCCATATGCAGTACAGTATAAATTTGTGGACCAAAGTTCGCTCACTGGGGTGAAAATGAATCACGGGAATGAGTCTCATAATTTACTTAACTTAACTGTCATGTGGTGTGGGTGCGTTTTATTTTATTTGGGGTTGTTCGATACTGCTTCAGTTGGGGACGGAGCGAACTTTTGACCCCGACTGTACAACACATTGCTGTTTTGATGTTCGCTTGTACAGTACGTCATCAACATCGTTTAACAGCCATTTTTCATGTTAACCATGTTTGGTATTAATGACAGAAAATGATATTTGCATTGTATCAGATTAAACCATCTCGAGAATTTTAAACAATTTGCTCTTATTCCCTTTAAGGTTTTATAATGTACAGTATATAGTACAGTACTGTAATCAGTAAGATACCCGTAATTAACTAGAATGAGCAAAGTGTCTGCTTGGAACTGTCAGTCAATGGTGCGACACTTCAGTTTTGAGACCAAGTCTTACACTTTTTTCTAACTCCTGAAATTTATTTTAAAACAGACAAAATTTTACATAAAAAACACTCTGTATGGTAACAATGCTTTATAAGTTTAGTATGCTATCTAGGAATGATATTTGGTAAATTGTACCTTGTATCAAAATCACAACATTTGGATTTTTCTTTTGTTAGTTGCAGAAGTGATGGTAGTACATTACCATATGCTTCTAGATGGACACATGCAATACGAGGCATTTTCTTATACACATCAAAGATTACCTATACTGTACTGTAACTACACATCTAAACACAAGAGCACAGTACTGTATGCTGCATTGATGCTCACCAGTTACGAGATGTCTTCCTTGTTCAGTGTACAGTGTTGTGAAAAGCAAAATAATCGAGACAGATTCCACCAATATCAACTAAAACACTGTCACTGTAGGCATAATATTCCTGTTAAAGTTTAAACCTAACAGACAGAAGTCATTGTCCAAAAATGTCCCTATACGCCAGTTGACCCACATTTTTATTCACGATTCATTAATTTTTTATTATTGGATTTTATGAGATAGGAGAGATGCTAACATTAAACTTAGTGCTTGACAATGAGCTGCCCTGCTTCTTTTAATAACCACCTGATAGACACTTGGTGTCCAAATGAATCAGAACTGTGTGCATTGAGGACAGCTCATTCTAACCAACCACAAGCCTGCCTGGGAGAATGTGGGCTGATCTTTTATACAGTAAACCCGAAGTGGACGGTTATTAGTGAAATAGGAGAACACAAAATTTTATGCACCCCTTTAACAGATACCAATGTTTCATTATACTGTAACTTTCACCTATGTTCATCTTTATTTATATGAACACCATCCTCGTCTGTACACATTACAGTACAGTATTGTACAGCACAGTATTTGGATATCCTGTAAAGCTCTCAAGACTTTATATGACTTTTTAGCCTCATACTGGATACAACCTTGCCAAAATCAAAATGCCAGAGCTTCCAGGTTATATTTTGTTTAAAAAACTGTTCACATTTCATCATTTCTCTATGTTAAAAATTATAAAAAAGAAAACCAAATATATTCATACCAATATGATCTTGGTTTCTTCAACTTCCTCTTGAACCTTTGTGAGGGAGTCCGCCTCACGGGGATTCTGCCACCTAGCCAGGGTTGCCGGTAATTCAGTATATGGGATAGCACTTTCCTCAGTGTCTGGCCATAAATGTGAAGGAACTTTGGCTGCAAAATCATCTATAATCTGTAACAAAATGACACCAATCAAAATACAATACAGTACTCTATAAACTGGTACTTATATGCTTGTCACTACTGCCTTGATCCATGCATTCAAAGCAGGATGATACATGAAAGCGTGGGAATTTTTTTATAACTGAATTTTTGTAATTCGGAAGATGCCCGAGTTTGTAAAACAATATGTTAACCATCTGCATAACTGTCATCAATATTATCAATACCCCAATGAAACCCTCATACACCAGTTACCATATAACACTATTGGGAACACAACTCCATACTGTATACAAAATGGTACTGTACAATGACCCCAATTTGGCCTCATCATGGGTGTCGAGAGAGGCACGAGTGTACTGAATACTTAAAACCATTGTACAGTACTATACAGAGGTATATAAAAGCTATTGTAAAGAATCTGTGTTTATTAAACAAAATATGTAACACCTATGAAAAATAAAGTCACATTTAAAAATAAAATGGATTTATCCTTCAGACACAGTTGAAGCAAAGCAACAAACATAAATACAGTACAGTACTAAAATTCACCAATATCTGTATACAATAGAGATTATAAACATGGATGCTTTTTCTTATCTCACCCTATTAAGCATGTTGTGAGCAACTCGGTACTGGTACTCGTGGTCTGAGATAACTACACCAGCTAAGTTGTCAGCCCGCACATACACATGACACATGTATTCTGAAAAGGGATACATACAGTATTATCTCTACAAGGTTGATGAATACTGGAAAGGAATGGTTTTTAAAGGGAGATATTTGGGCCTGAGGCCTCAGGTTTCTTTCAACTGAATTATTTTTCTATACATATTTGGAGAAACTACTACAAAGTGTCCAGTTCCCACCTTGAATCAAATATGCCTGATTGTAACCTGGGCACCATGCCATCAGGTGATGATGGCCAACCCACACAAGTGTGAAAAATGGCTGTAAAACAGTGATGATAAAGAACTGTGAAAGATTAGCAAGAAAATAAAATCACTCAAACAACTTAACTGTTGGTTGAGTATGGTAGTAGTGGAGGCAGAGTTTACGTATCTATGGTGAAACGAACTTAAAATATTTATTTATCATGTTTTAAATGTTCTCTGTACAATACTACCATATCTGTTATGTATTGATTATAAGCAATTACATGTACAAGTACGTATACAGTGTCAAGAAATAGAAACATTTAAGTCCAGGAAAGCATCTCAAGGTACAGTAGTTACAGGAACCTACTGTAATCCTGTAATCCAACCAGTGTGAAAAGTATATACTGTATATGGTAGTAATTATTGTGCAGTATACTGTATATAAACACTATTGTACCATACAAAAATATGACACTACTGTACAGGTGTATTTCTTTTATTCCAAATAGATGAATGACAAATAACTTACCCTGTTCTTTTACAGATTGTCTTGAACAGGGGTTACTGCGCTCTGTAATAATCTTGCTTGTGAAGGCCATAAATTCTTGAACTGACCCACGTTGAAAAAAACTGAACTGCGACAGATCATAAGCAGTCTTCAGTAAATGTGCTCTCTCTGTACCCTTGTACAGCACACACACTGCAAATAACTTGACCATCCTGGCTGTCTGTAATTTACCCAATTCAATATTACTATTACTTATGGATATGGAAGAGTCAAATAAATGGGCATATAATAAACAAAAAAAAAAAACTTTCAAATTATATAAAACAAACATTTTACTACTGAACATGGTAATACAGTACTGTATAAAATATGTTAAAATAAAAATAACCAATTACTTATTACATGTATACAGTATTTGTATAAATTATAATTCCTAGCATTTGTGTCACGAAGCATACCGGTACTGTACGTAAGTCTCTCCTTCACTTACAACGGGGTTCCGTTCCGACTACCAGGTCGTAAGTCGAACCGAGAAAAATAATACATAGTACAGGTAATAATTTTAAAACTTTTACCTTTTTAATACACAACCTGAGCGGGATACGACGTGGATGCTGTACACACGTGGCGGCATGCCAGCCGAAGTTGTCGTTAGACATTACGACCAAACGTCTGGACTCGAAAATAATGTAAAATATTGTAATATAAAATAACGACAATGACCGTCTTAAGTACAGGTTGTAGTAAACCGAGGAGAGACTGTTTATGAAACACTAATATACTGTACAGTATTTATACTAAATTTTATGGGGACAAATCTCATTTTCTCACACAGTCTATTATTGTTCTGTACAGTACTCTGGAATAGGGGTTCGGTTTAACCATCAATTTTAGGAAAATTTTTAATAGAATAAAATTTCTTTCTTACCTAAAGATGCAATACATCCCGGTGACACCATATTGAGAGTTTACATTACTGTACAGTATATGATTTGTTGTAGATAAAATGAATCAACCAAACTTACCTATCCTAGGGCGGAAGTATATTATATTAGGTTAGATTTGATTACATTACTAGGTAGATTTGGTTAGGTAAGGTATGGAAAGGTCACCAGGAAGCATGTGTCAACTGCTGAAGAAAACAAACATGGCATCCTTGGGTGGACGGAGTACCGGGTGTACCAGTATCTATTTATACAGTAACAAGAACTAGGGAAAATAATATTTTAATAAGCTTGCAATGCTTCCACCTGTTTTGGGATATTCTTGATGTACAAAAGAAGTTATCTTGTGCAAATATGGTATCATTGTGCAGTGGGCGGGTGGCAGCAACTTTATTTATGAGGAAAACTAAGGGAAATACGAAAAAAGATATTCCTCCACCCAATATGCTTAATTCTTGTGGTATGCAATCAGTTTCTATCTATACATATTTTTTTTTTATTTAGTTGGATACTATGACCCTTGTTCTTAACTATTACCAAATTAGGTTAGGGAAATAATATTTCAGATCATATGGAAATGTTGCAAAGAAGCATTCCATCACTTAGAATTTGGTTGACTGGTCAATGGGATGTATTTGTCAGCAGTTCAAATGCACACACGGTGTTGTTGGGTGGGCATCGGGCACAGAATGTTTTTATTAACAGGAAGAGGCAATCTGGTTTATTCTTGAGGTTAGAAATAAATTTTCAGTACCAGTAATTATCTGATTTAAGGGCACCTCGGGTTTTATGATTAAGTTTGGGATGAAGCTCAATGTTTGGCCAAAACATAATTTCTTCCACAGGTGTTCTTTGGATGATAGTAAGTAATAAAAATGATACAACAATGTACAGAACCTAACAGAACCTGACCTAACCAACCTAATTTTACCTAATTTCCTACTGGGGGGGGGTCTGCCCCAATACACCCTGCCATATTTGGTACCAATGAATGCAACTTTCTTGAAGCAGTATAGTGTAATTTTACACATTTTGTGGACGTGACAGTATGCTTGGATGGAGCGTAAACATGCAAGAACAGACAACAACACGAGCCAACAACATGTACAAAGCGCATAGATATTTTAGTGTCCTATGATCAGTTTTTCACCATGGTTTACCCTGCAATTTCCCTCATCCTTTATACCCTTCCCACTACTGGTGATTTATGATCGCCGAGAAAAACTAAAAAATAATTAAAAAATACTTAGAATTAAAATAAAAAGTTGCTGTATCGCTTTATTACGAACTATCATCCAAAGAACATCTTTGAAAAAAAAAATAATGAAATCAAATAATTCCTTCTGGTGTTAGCCATTTGCTCCAGGATTACCTTTATATCTTGAATGATTTGCGCCTTCCCTGGGGTCCATTAAAAATGTATCGGTATTATTTTCTTGTAGCTCCGTTCATTCCTACCACTAATCTATTATCATATTCGAATAAGACGTCTAATTATAATATAATTTTCATCTATTACATTACCGGCGGAAATGTATAATAACAGAGATAGCTTTTCCAAAAAATTTTCTATTTTCTTCCATTAACATCGCGCCATTATCATCTACCTCTCACCTAACACTGAGTGTGTCTCGCGTCTCCTTCAAAAATCATGATGCGCATGAGTACCCGTACACGTCACGCGGCCAATCAAAAGCGTTTTTGCTAATTCAGAGTATATTTGGCCCAATCAAAATCGAGTTTTATTTTGGGTCTCTCATATTTTGAAATTCAAGTTCAGTTCCGACCATGGAAGTCTGCAATGGGTGTCACAAAATATATGGAGCCGATTGCGAGTTTTTGGAAAAAAAAATAACGTAGAAACTATAGCATTTTTTCGATTGCATGGTGTTCTTCCAACCTCAGTAAAGTGTACTAAGAGCAAGACCAAATGTAAATATCGCAAAGACCAACATATAAGGCGTTGGGTAAGAATCCCAGAATCCAACGACGAACAAGAACCAGGCCAATAAGGTAAGAAATAGGTGATTCCATCATATGGTGAGTCAGTTAAGTCAGGTCAGGTTAGGTTTGGTTTGGTTATTGTTTTTCTAGTGTTTTATTGTGTATATATTAGTCGCTTAGGCACTTTTTTTCTCGGAAAACGTCAAACGAAAAACAAATCGCTAAAAAACCCCGGCTAATTTCCGCCAAAAAGTTAGGTCATATTCGGTCTCAACACACACAAATACACTAGAAAAATATATTTTTAACTTGCTACAAATGAACGGGAGCTACAAGAAAAATTTACCAATGTATCTTGTGCAAGGTTATGAGAACTAATGTCTAACATAATAAGATGGAAATCAATATATACATGTCTCAATACCTTAACTGAGGCTCTTGTCCTATCAATACTTGGACTAACTATAGCCAAGTTTCCCTGACATTGTCCTTCACGAATTTAACACCGCCTGTTGTGTACAAATATAAAACCATTGTGATTCCAATATGTCTGCTCAAGTCCAATAATTAAAGTATTCATATTGTACTAGATGATGAAGCCAATAACGTAGTCAAATCCTCTCACCTGTACCATATAATATCTATACCAAGATTCAAGAAACATAAGACATGAAATAATGAAAACATAACCATTTAAATATTACTTCATTATTGATTGACAAGTACTAACCTTTATCTTATTTGTATATCTGCTAAGTAATGCTGAAAATGTCTCTACAGTTCAGAGCTTAAATATCAGTCTTCTCAAGTAACGAGTGAGTAACCACTTGTCATTAGGTGTAACAGCTGATTCACACAACTCACAAGTTTCAGTATAAGAGAAAGGATCAACTTGGCCATACCAGATCGAAGAGGTTTACACACACTCATGAACCGACTATAAAATATCAAAAACCTATAAAAATAGTATTAGAACCTAAAGTCTTTCTTAGATCCCTCTATAAACTATGAAATTTGGAACTCAACATACATTATATTCTCGCATTTATAGTAAATAATTATTAAATTTTTTTGTATGTTATTGCAATTATATATAAATGATATAATTTCATAAAGTAACCCAACATACCAAATTAATTTTAATCAAGTAATTTAGTGAAGATATAGGTGAGTTATGAAGGGGGTTGGGTGATGGTGACTGAGGGACTAGTTTACTGGCCGTCATCGATCGTGGGAGTGGCGCGGCTCATCAGCTGGTCACTAGCAGTTAGGAGGAGGGGGACTATTATCCTCATTGTTATCTGCTCCCTACGTCCAATTTATTACTCTTAATACTGTGACAATGACAATATAATGTGTACTCTATGTATTTAGTTCGTTATGTTGTGTTAAAACGAAACTGAAGTTCATTTATCACACCTAACTTCTTTTCGCATGTGTCCATTACTCTGAGTACGACGATCAATTTAACAAGATATTATGAGGAGCATCTAATTGGGGAACCGGGTCATAGGTAAGTGTATATATATTTAGTATTGTGGTGTCATTAGAATATTAATTGATGTAGTTTATGGCGAGTTATGACTAAAATTACATAAATAAAGGTTGATTAATCCCCCAGGCCTGATCCTAACGCCTACCTGTGCTACCCAAGACCTCAATTTAGTCACCGTGTTTCAATGATAATTATCTCTTGGTGGTTTTTGTCTTCGGGATAACCTCTCTTATGATATACTCAGTGATTGGGTGTTTTATTTTGGTAACTGGCAGGTTTGGGTGTGTTAAAGGTTACTGTGATGAAATCTCCTTAAAGTATATCATTAAAGGAAGTGGCTACCGTCTTGGGTACGCCTCAGCTGATAAAAGTTTCCTATGGGTATAAATAAGCATATATTTTGGCCTCTTTTAGCTGTGTCATCAATATATATATACGTTGTATCAGATGTTTCAGTATTAATTCTATAATATCCAGGTGGGAAATTTATTCTGTGCATGAATGAAAGCAAACCTAACCTAATGGGTCCTGGGATAATTCTTGTTAGGGTGTGTGTTTGTATCTTGAGAAGTATAGTACTACTGTCTTTGTCTTCATAGTTTATAGAAGAGATTTTGTTCACTTATATCAGAAAATGTTTACTGATCTCCACTGGTTTCTTATACAGGCCATCACTGAATTGTATCTGATTCTGGGAATTTTCTGTTTAATGGGTGTAAAGTCATGACTGCCTCTTGGCATGGGGCAATACTGTACTGGGAGTTTTCTGAAGCACTAAATACTGCTACATTACATAATTTATTGTCTTTAAATGGAACCAAACTAACCTAACCTAAACATTATACTGAAATATGATTTAAGTTAGGTAAGTTAGCTTGGTTTATTTTTAAGAATGATAAATTATATTATGTTGCAGTATCAGGTAGCTCAGAAAGTTCCCAATGACAACAAAGGCACTTGTGATTTTATTACTGTTAAATGCAAGATTTAATATTTGCCAAACTTTGTCTGTCCTGTAAAATCAAATGTAATGTACCTGTTAGTTCTAAGATTGTTTATTTTCATGTGTCAAAATGTGTTGATGTTACTCAGTGGCTGTGTCTTATTTGTAGTGAGGCTGAAGGTAAGTTCTACTGTATTAAAACTTTCCAAAAGCAGTTTATTCACCGGAACTCACATTTCAAGTTCCGACCTGAGCTGGCTACTTCGACATTTGTCAGTTATTCTTCACAATATATAGTAGTTGAACACCATTGATGTGTTTGGCCCATCAATAATTGTTGTTATTACTGTATATATGCTATGATGTTATATAATGAAAACTTGATACTGTAATGCAGTTAGGAAAGACCAATTGCACACTGTAACTATCAGTACATTCTGTACAACATTTCACCTTAGAACATAAATGCTCGATCTCTTGAAGCTGACAAAAATGCATAAACAATACGTTTTACATGAATATCTCTTATCTTTTTTACGTCCTTCGTCTGTGGAGAGGACTCAAAAATTACTTGCCACGTGTCTCGTATATCTTGACAATGTTTTATTGTTTTATACTCGGTATATTATATAAAAACACAATGTAGCTAGTATTTTAAGGTGTTGTTTCGGTATAAATGGAAAACAATACTTTTATAAAGTCCAGAACTATTTCATGAAAAGCCGAGACCAAAAAGTATGGACCACATTGATATACAAGTACTGAATATATAATAATGGTTGCCCCTCGTGTAAAGAGGATGACCGGCCCAAGGGCCACCTAGGCATGAATTTGTTTAAGGTGTAGAAGCTGTCGCCAACACAACAACCACACCCTAAGTTAACGAGTTGCATGACCCAGTAACAAGGAATAGTCCGAGAAGACCGGACAACTCGTCAACTGCACTGGCCAACCATTACCCCGGAATACGATCTACAAATCGATTAACATCCAGGTTCCCAATTACTGCTGGGTAGACAGAGGCAAATGATGTAAAGAAACTTGCCCATAGTTTCACCCTGCCCCGGGGATCGAACTCGGGTCCGCTCGCTCGCCCTACATTGATATACTGTACTGTACACAAGTCTTATTCCTGCTCCTGTAAAATAGATTTTTAGTTAATAGATACTTTACTGAGGCAGTATTAACATTAATTCCTCTATTAACATTCTAAACCCTTTGGCTTCTGAAGGTTTCACTAAGCTGATTAAAATCATCTGACAGTAGCCAGATTAAAATTTTTAAATGTGGTAATCAGCAGGAAAGGGTTAAAGTTACGTTCTGCAGAAGCTTTGTATATTTACTGTTCGACTTCACTACTAAAGACAAATGTTTCGGTATTGTCATGAGAATTGTTTTGTTTAGCTGCTTGGAACGTAAGCTAATGAGGATAGCAGTGCCAATCGTGGCTGCTATTTGATTTGACAGCTGTAAATTTGCGGTGGATTATTTTTCATCTAAATACCTCTAAAGGCTCTTAAACAATAATACTGTACTATGCTATGACCTGTGTAAGATGATGTTTACAGAGATATAGGGCAAGGGTTAAGACAAGTCAAATGCCTGTAGGTTACCATAAGTGTTTTTTTTTAAAGAATTAGCTGATCAATAGGCTAAGCTGTTGGAATAAGGTAGACCTTATAGAATAGTAGAAATTTCAAAGAAATTAAGGGGTTGAGCCCGTATTGGTCTGCTAAATAAGGGTTATAGTGTAGACAGGTAGTCATTGTTGAATGTGTCTCCATTCAACTCGACATTTATTAATTTTTTATTGTTTAAAAAATTTCGAATAATAAACTACAGTGTTACTTCCCAGTGAAACATACAATAATGAGGAGATGCATTTATCATGGCACCCAATATGTTTACAATGTAAACAAATTTTAGTCACAATTGTTTCACCAGAATCATTATGAAAGTACAGGTAAGTACATTACCTGTGTACAGTATAAAGTAAAGGTAAGGTTAGCCAAAAACATTTACTACATACCTGCATTAAATCAACAATAGTTTCAGCCAGATTGTTACTGTATCTATCTCAGTTTATTTACTGATGTATAACAGAAACACCTTTTGTGCCAACAATTAAGCAGAGAATCACTATACTGTACAGAGTACAGTATATATTTGAAAGGTTAACCATAATTTCCGAACTACAACCACCACAACACTGACAATGATGACTATTTGGGCAGCTACCGCTCACCTTCTGTCCCCAGACTGGTGAACTGTAATGAGACAATGTAGCTATAGAGAAAATTAAAATAATCAGTGACTGATAATGCGAGTCCAGTTTAGTCCTGCTTTAGTCATCTATTCTCTTTATTAGATTGTATTTATATAGTTATGCATATAAAGTTGAAAATTTTAACTATACTGCTGGATAATAGAAAGTGAAAATATTCACTATCCAGCCAAATAATTAATCTATCTGGTGCGCCCCTGTTCGTATATTTTTTGTAGTTTTGGAAAGAGGCAGCTCAAGGTTAGTGTGTTTGTCATTTGGCTGGTGCACACGAGATGGCTATTATTAAGGCTAATACTGTACTGTAATTTAATATCACTCATGTTAGGTGTGACAGCCTACATGTAATTTGCTTATGATTAATGTCAGGATTCATTAGTACCTGGAAACTCTTTAGGGGGTGTGTCAGCAAGGATGGGTAGGTGAGGGTGGTTCAGTGAGTGCAATTTTAGTAAGGGTGAATTTACATACCTGGTATCCATCTGTTTCAGGTTCCTTCTGGCCTCCAGAGGACACCAACTTTTTTTTTTCTGGAAATGTATTTGTTGAGGGTAAACAAGTTGTTAAAGTTCACAAACTTGTAACCTTACAAGTCTATAGGGTGTGTCTCTTCCAGCACTCATGGTTGCATTTGGTTTGGTGTTTATTATTCATATTAATTTTTTTAATTTCCTGCGTTGACAGGTAAAGGAAGCCAATGGCTTGTTTAATGTTCTATTGTGTTTCAATATCCAATACTGTATTAGTAAAGGAAGAAACCAGAATATTCGGAGAAAAACTGCCATGTTTGTTAGTCACACTCGATGCCACCCATCTCACGTCTGACCCGAGGGATTGAACAGATGAGCAACTGGTGTCAGAGGCAGACAGTGGATGGTTCAAACCTTTAGCTCTTTTGACAGGATAGATAGCAGACATTGCACATGGTGCTCCTAAAGTAAGCTTCCTTCCTCTGGTTGTAGCAGTGTAGTATTGATTGGGTGAAGGTTAGAAGCCCAGCACCCTCAAGGCCATTTTTTTTTAATTTTGAGTGTCAGTTGGCAGGAGAGTTCTAATTACTGTAATAGATTTGTGAGTATCCTAATCTTTTAGCAAAGACATCGATAATAACCCTTTTCGGGCTTTTTTCCGCAGAGGTCATTGTCAGGCTCTCTGGTGTTTGTTTATTTATTACTGACTATTACTTGGACCCGAGATAAATTTAGTAGGATTAGCTACCCCCCTTTAAGGGTGCATGTGAGCATAGCTCTTGCATCATTTCGGTACTTTCTCCCTTTCTACAGTACAGTATCTGGCTTTAATACACACAGGAGCTCAATCCTTGTACTGTATAGGTATAGTATCATACCTATAATAGATGGAGAACTGGTCCTGAAATCTGGTTTGATAACCGAGTCAGGATTGAAATTTTTTTTTACCCAGCCCTCCCTTCAGGATGTTGAGGTGAGTTGGATCTAGTGTGCTGCAGGCTGTTTTGAGTTGTCTTTTGATTGATGTCAACAAATGAATGGATCGCAGTGTCTTGCTCACATAAAGATTCAGGTGCTCTCTTATTTTAGGGTGCCTTCTTACCATCAGGATCTGTACAAAAGTGGAGAACAAGCTAATACAGTAATAAATTTAGTCAGTTTCTGGGTCCCAGTCGTGAGTTCTGGCCTTCTGATTAGGGTTACAACCAGACAAGCTGATAATACCTGTACAATACTCAAGTTGCTTGATCTTGACTTTGTTATAAACAAGATTTCATTAGTTATAATTTCTCCGAACTAAGAATATTTTTATTTTTATTTT